CCTTGTGGTTGGGCTAATAATAGCTTTGGGTTAACATTCATCTAAAGGAAGCCCATAGGCCGGGCACGGTGGCTCGCGCCTATAATCTCATAGCACTCTGGGAGGCCAAGGCGGGTGGATTGCTGTAGCTCACGAGTTCAAGACAGCCTGAGCAGAAGCAAGACTGTATTTCTACTAAAATTAGAAAAACTGAGGCAAGAGCATTGCTTGAGCCTAAGAGTTGGAGGTTGCTGTGAGCTTTGCCGCTGTGGCGCTCTACCCAGGGCAAAAGCTTAAGATTCTGTCTCAAAATAAATAAATAAATAAAGCCCATAATAAAAAGATGCTGTTAATCTTTTATTTTTTCATTCATCTAGCTATTAGGTCTTTTCAGTACAGTTATTTCCTAGGTAATATGTGACAGAGAAGCAAAATATAAATCCTACTTTTCTGATGGCTTATGTTGGACTTAAATTACATTGGTTCTCAATTGTGGGTACATATCAGAGCTATTGGAAGGGAAAGCTTTATGACATTTGTAGGAGCCAGGAGCCTCTGTAGACCAAGTAAACCAGAATCTCTAGGGCAGGGAGTGGGCCCAGACTGAAAATTTGAACAAGATTGCAATGCTCAATTCTATCCATAGAACCACTGTATTGTGAAAATAACAGTGTTCCAGAGAGGGCCATATTGGCCAGACACTTGTATTTGAGAGTTAAACCAATTAATTGGGGACATTTTAATTCTTCAAATCTTGAATGCCATACCTAGTATTATGTAAGAAATACCATCCCAGTTCTTTCATTTATTACTAATAATTATATTGGCTGAGCATGCTGGCTCACGCCTGTTGTCCCAGCGCTGTGGGAGGCTGAGGCGGGTGGATCACCTGTGCTCAGAGGTTTGAGACCAGCTGAAGACCAGCCTGAGAGAGAGTGAGCCAGAGTGAGACCCTGTCTCTACAACTACAACAAGACAGCCGGACCTTGTTATCTCAGCTACATTGGGGGGGGGGCGAGGAAGGGCAGGAGGAAGAAGTAAAAAAAAAAAACAAACCTAATAATTATATTACATTTTCATAAAATGGCCAGTACTTTATAAACATTTTATATATGTGTGATTTTATGGATTGTCATAATTACTGTTTTAAATAAAATTGTCCCTCTTTTATAGATGCATAAACTAAGACTGAAATTAAATGACCTGTCTAATGTGCTGTGACCAGTATTAGCAGTTGAGATAAAATGTAGGTTCTATGTACCCTGTGTCAGTACTTTCTTAAAGCTATGTAGTTGTGAATACCTTATCTTAAATATTTTTAAAAATATAAAAATCCCATAAAACTTAGTACTTTTACCCCCTTCTGTTTTCTCTGTGGTCTTCACATTTTTGAGAGACCTTTTTTTTTTTTTTTGTAGCTTTTTGGCCAGGGCTGGGTTTGAACCCGCCACATCTGGCATATGGGGCCAGTGCCCTACTCCGTTGAGCCATAGGCACCGCCCTCTGAGAGACCAATTTTATTCTCTCCAGCCCAATACTATCTGTCTATCTATCTGAGGACAGAGTTTCACTCTGTCACACTATAGTGCCATGATATCATCTTAGCTTACAATGACCTCAAACTACTAGGCTCAAATGATTCTCCTGTCTCAGCCTCCCAAGTAGCTGGGACTACAGTCAGCTGCCACAACGCCCAGCTAGTTTTTTCTATTTTTAGTAGAGATGAGGACTTGCTCTTGCTCAGGCTGGTTGCCCAACTTCTGAGATCAAGCAACACACCCTCCTCGGTCTCCTAGAGTGCTAGGATTACAGGAAGGAGTCATTGTGCCTGGCCCCAACACTGTCTTTTTTTTTGAGACAGAGTCTCACTTTGTCATCCTAGGTAGACTGCTGTGGCATTACAGCAACCTCAAACTCTTGGGTTTAAGCAATTCTCTTGCTTCACCCTCCCAAGTAGCTGGGACTACAGACACCCACCACCCCACTACGCCCGGCTATTTTTTGGTTGCAGTTGTCATTATTGTTTAGTAGAACCAGGCTGGGTTCAAACCTGCCAGCCTCGATGTATGTGCCCAGCAACCTCCTCACTGAGCTATGGGTGCTGAGCCCCAACACTGTCTTTTAATAACAAACTTTTGACAGAATATTTTCCCACTTGTGCTCTTGGTTTCATTCAGAAGACAAACTTCTGCCAACTATTTTTATTGAGAGTCACTGTTAATTTATTGAATTTTTTATTTTTTTATTATTTTTGAGACAGGTTCTCACTTTGTCACCCTTAGTAGAGTGCTGTGGCATCATAGCTCATAGCAACCTCCAACTCTTGGGCTCAAGCGATCTACTTACCTTAGTTTTTTATTTTTAGTAGAGATGGGGGTCTCACTCTTGCTCAGGCAGGTCTCAAACTCCTGAGTTCAAGCGATCCACCTGCCTCAGCCTCTCAGAGTGCTAGGATTACAGGCACGAGCCATTGTACCTGGCCTGAATTTTTTCAAGTAAGCGTTCTATTGAAATGTAACCTTATTTACAGAAAAATATGTCATAAATGTTTGTCTTCATGAATTTCTATAACAGCCATCCAGGTCAAGAAGTAGAAGCCTCCCTTGGGCCCCCACCACCCAGTAGAAGGAACCTACTATTCTGCTTATGCCTCAGGAGCTTCTTTAGAGTAGAAAATCAGTTAGCAACATTTGGGAGTAGTGGACTGTACAATATTGGTGAAAGTCAGCTTGCTGTAGGGAAATACTTAAAATCTAGCCCTTGGCAGTATAGTTGAGATGGTAACTAGTAGTGGCCATGTTTTCAGGTCAGAGCAGGTAGCATGTAGGCGGGGTGATCAGGTTCTCAGAAAGCCCCTATAAGGGTCACTGAGGAAAGACAATGTAGAGCCATTGATCTGACTTAGTGCCCTCTGCCACCTATTATTTTGCTTTTTGTTGACTCTTTCTGCTGCTGCTTTATCCTATTTTCTTTTCAGTTTTGCCTTTAGGCCTTCTGAACTCATTGTAAGAAGTTGGTGCTGAACTGTTTCCCCGAGCCAGTGACTTGATTTGTCAACTTGTGGAAGATTACTTAGGCCCGGCAGTGGGATAATCCTTGTTATACTTATTTGCTATTAACATTAATGGTTTCTGATTCTGGAAGATTTATTTGTCATTTAGACCAAATTAGTGCCTCTTGGACTCTAATTTGTAATGGCAACAGGAGGACAGGAGGAACTTTCTTGTTTTAGCTGTTGAGTTTTGTAGGATTTTTTGCTCTTTTTAATTTTTTTCATCATACTTATTGAACTTCTGCCAGGCACTATATTTAGTGCTAGGGATATAAAAGTGAATATATAGCTCCTGTCAGTGTGGAGGGAGCTATTGCTTCTGGTGTTTTAAAGATCTTTTTGCCTTTAGAACCTTGCCCTATTCCCGTCTTTGCTTCGGGGATTCTCAGTACGTGCTTAATTGGCTATCATTCAATCCTCTTGAGTTGATAACAGCCTATACTTAAAGATTCTTTCCTGAAATGCACATCTCAGTGGCTTCCAAAGCTGTGATTTACCATCTTGATGTCGCATGAAGCTAAGTTGTATATCCTTTTTCAGCTCCTGTCATATGTGTTCCTTCTTTCATGTTATTTAGGAAATCTTTGTTTTTCTTTTGACAGAGAATGACTTTAAAAGTTAAATGGACTCTGAACTAGTAGTTGAAAGGTTTAAGAGTGTTAAGTCAAGGCCTACAGGTCACCCTTTCTGAATTAAGAATTGCTAGTCTGAGAACATTTGTTGGTTTGCATCTATAGGCCTGTCCATATTCAGTTTGTTCACAACTGTCTGCTGCTCTGTCTTCTGTTATTTATTCCTCCCGCACTGAAGTTTGGTTTTGGTGACTGGAAATGTGGCGCAGCAGTTCTTGTCTTCTGTTGGTTAGATCTTTTCTTGTACCAGGAACTTTATCTTGGTCCATGTGCTTTCTCTTTCTTAAACCATTAGTCACTGGTAGAGAAAAGCAAGGCTGCCTCCCTCTAGTTTTACAAAAGTAAAAGTTAAACCCTTCCTTTGATATAAGGTTCTGCAAAGTCCTTTATACCATATTAAGTCACCAAATCTTTTCTTTTTGGAAATCAAGGTATGTTTGCTTTTTTGTCTAGGGTTTAATTTAGGATGTTGGTAAGAGGAAAGAAAACTTAATTTCCTTAGAAGGCAGTGTCTGACACAAGATCAGTTCTTTTAGGTTCAGTGTTTTAAAGCTTTATGGTTTGAAACACTGAAAAGATAAATTCTTTTACATCAGATGCTTCAATTTAATATGTTGCTACTTATATCTCACTAACAATCTGCCTTGGGATAGGCAGGTGAGGGAATAGTACTTAGTGTATTTTTGGTGAAAGAATTTTATAGTTACATTTAACTTGCTTTGAGGCATTGGAAATATTAAAGTTAAGGGTCTTTGGTAAATTTTTGATGCCTAAAACATGAGGCTTATAGGATGGAATTTGGGGGGTGATGCAAGTTGGTAGGGCATATATTCCAAGATGAATTTGAGTTGGAATGATGTCAGACCACACTTAGCTCAATATTTAGAAGTTAGAGAGGAATTTACATAGACAGCAGCAAAGTATGAAATTCTTTTTGATCAGCTTAATACTCCACTCATTCTATACTGTTAGCCACCATACAGGGGCCTATTATGAGTTATAGTTAGATTTAAGAGTAGAGAACCATTTCTGTGTACCCTCTGAGGTACAAAGTTGTGGCTGGGCTTTGGGTAGAAAGGAAAAAAATTGAGTGGTGGGACATTGGGTATGAGAAGACTGTCCTAAACTCTGTAACATAAATGTATGTCTGTCTATCCCATTTGGCAAGACTTTTCTGCAGCGTTCCTGCCTCTGTGTTGTTTGTTAATTAGATTGTAATGTCTAAAAGGGCAAGGCACTATCCTGTTCTAGTCTCTAGTGTAGTCTGGTGTCCTCAGCAGTTGCCCACTCTTTATAGTTGATGATGATTAGTGAAGCTGAAGCTATTTTTTAAACAGGGCCCAAGGGATGCAGACAGTGATGAAAACGACAAAGGTGAAAAGAAGAACAAGGGTACGTTTGATGGAGATAAGCTAGGAGATTTGAAGGAGGAGGGTGATGTGATGGACAAGACCAATGGTTTACCAGTGCAGAATGGGATTGATGCAGACGTCAAAGATTTTAGGTTTGTATGTTTTACACTTCTGATTTTTGATGTGGGCTATGGGTTTTTGTTTGTTTTGATTTAGTTTTATTTTGAATTTAGTCTCCCCACTGCCTCTTACTCCACCCACCCCTTTAAGAATTTGATCTAGTTTAATTAACTGGTAGAGTAGAATTTTCTAAAAGTTGTCAATGCCTGATTTATTTCTAAAATGGTAGATTTTGTATTTGTGTAGAGCTCTAGAATATTCAGAATGATTCTAGAAAAGGTCTTATCAGTGATTTTCAAATACCAAAATCCCCTGGGTAGGTGGCTTTGGAATTTTCTAAAGATTGTCCCAAATCACTGTATTAGAGGGTTGTGGTTACTAATGGAGGTGTGTCACGTCCCTCTGTGTTAGAGGGAAAAACAGTTGAGAATTTGTACATTATCTCATTTGAGTCTCATAAGCTCCTTTTGAGGTAGGTGGGTCATGTATCATTTCCTCCATTTTGAAGTACCAGAGATGCAGCTTAAATGACTTTTTCTTAATCATATCCTTTCCATGGATGCTTTTTATCCCATCTCTGGTCATAATTGATTGTAGGTTTTATTACTTAATAATACAGCCTTAAAATAATGTATTTGTCTTTCACAGTTGGCAAGTATTCTTTGTGTATGTTGGCAACTTTTAGTTATGGTATATAGGTTAGCCGGGTGTGGTGGCGCACGCCTATAGTCCCAGCTGCTTGGGAGGCTGAGATGGGAGGATTGCTTGAACCCAGGAATTGGAGACCAGCCTGGGCAACATAGCAAGACCCCGTCCCAAACAAATACATAAATTTCTTTGTTCAGTGATATGCAGATAGAGAATTTAATTTTGAATAATTTTAATGTAAGTCTAAAGCTAAAGTGTGTGTATCTATGTGTACACACCTACCACACATCTACCCTTCTTATCCTACCAAAGCCAAAATTAAAATGTATTTGTATCATTATTTGTAGAAAAAATTTTGGTTGTATAGTATTTGTAACCTAATTTTTGTATATTGCATGTATAAGGAACTACATACAGTCTTTGGAAGAAAGTTGAGGCACAGGGTAATAAATACTCAACACCTAAGGTCTTTTCAGTTCAGTTCTGTTTGGGTGGCCTCTCACCCTTAATCTCCAGCAGCCTGTAGCAGTATTCTTAATTTAACTGAGGGCAGGTGGTGGTGGTGTGTTTTGCTGTGTGTGTGTGTGTGTGTGTGTGTGTGTGTGAGAGAGAGAGAGAGAGAGAGAGAGAGAGAGAAGGAATATGGTTTTTTATCTTTAGTATGTACCAGCTACAGGATTTTTAGGGATGAAGGGCATTGAATTGTAGCCACAGGCTACCCTCCCCTGACCATAATATAATAGTAATACATATTAGCCTGATTTTTGGATCTCATAATCCTGCATTCATTTTACATAGGTGATGATATATTCTTGGCTACCCAGAACAATACTTCTTTATACCTGTGCCCTTTTTTGCTATTCGGATTGTCTTTGTTTGGATGATAAATTATATTCTCACATCACTTTTAATTTTTACAATTATCTCCGTAGCAGGGACATATCCTAATGAATTTAGTTTGTATAACTTTGAAATGGTTTGCTTCTTCTGGTTTCTTAGAAGAGGAGATAGTTTTAGCATTTGTCAGTAATACCAATAATATGTAAAAACATTTTTATTAGGATCATTCTGAGATGAGGAATTTTTCCTGGAAACCAAATTTTTTTATTGGCTGCTATATTTAAAGAGTAGATATTGATTTGGGGGGGTTATATTTTGCAACTTGGATTTTGGGATCATTATTTTCATGGATGCCACAGGCAGTGAGTTTTCTAGTTCGTCCAGTGTTCCTCAACTCTGGATTCTTTGGTAAAGGGATTGTAATTAATAGTAGTTAATGTGAGTTTAAGGGATGAGTTAGATGGAAATGCAAGCAATAGAAGAATAATTTTTAGAGAATATAAGCACCATAAAGGATCTCTGGTTATTTTATAGAAATAGTTTTAAGTGCTATTGATAATGAATTACATCAAGGACATTGTCCTTGAGCTCTTTGGGTTGCTGTAGTGTCCCTCCCCACTCAAAATAAGGTTTAATGCCCTTTACTTTCTCTGTTTAGCCGTACCCCTGGTAATTGCCAGAACTCTGCTAATGAAGTGGATCTTCTGGGTCCAAACCAGAATGGTTCTGAGGGCTTAGCCCAGCTGACCAGCACCAATGGTGCCAAGCCTGTGGAGGATTTCTCCAACATGGAGTCCCAGAGTGTCCCTTTGGACCCCATGGAACATGTGGGCATGGAGCCTCTTCAGTTTGATTATTCAGGCACGCAGGTACCTGTGGACTCAGCAGCAGCAACTGTGGGACTTTTTGACTACAATTCTCAACAACAGGTACTGTGTGTGTCTCTGTCACCCCCTCTACTCTCCCTCCAGCCAGCACATTGTTCAAGTAACTAAGGAAGGGGGTATGGGGGAAGGGTGGCATTATTTTAGGCTATCCATAACCAGCCCATATCAACCCAACAGTGAAGAGGGTTTACAAAGCCTCTGTGTTTTTCCCTTCATGAAGCTGGTCCCTGTGCTGAGGCAACAAACCACCTCGCTCTGTGTGTACTTTCTTTGGCTCAGCGCTCTCTCCAGCACCTGGGGAGAATGGGTGAGGTTGTGCTACCTCTTATAATACAACACTCTGGGATGCTAAATGAATCTCTCTGAAGATATGTAGTTGTGATGCTTTTGGTTTGTTTTGTTTTTAAAATAGTGAACTCTACTGTCTACCACTGTCAGGAGTGTGTAGTACCAGGTCATTTTATGAGTTCTGTCTTTTAATTTAATGAGTTACTTCAGATAACATAGATAAAGGGTATGGCACCTTTTTAAAAAGTTAGAATGTGATTGGGGAAAACACACAGAAGCCACTGAAAACCTACAGTGAAATTAGTTGGCTCTTTCTTTTATTCATAAGTCTCTAGAAATTTTTGTATGTGTGCTTTCTGTTTTTGAAAGTGTAGTAGTACTCTTAATCTAGGTTAATTGATCCTTCTGTTTAATTTTTTTAAAAGGAAAATCAGCTGTGTTTGGATTATAAAAACAGGGCAGGTAGTTTTCCTAGTCTTATTAAGTACCACAAGTTCTCCTTTGTGGCAGCTTGATGGACTGTGCATTTCTGTTATTTTTTTAGTTTTGGACTGGATCATAAACACAGACTTCTAGGTTTGAAAGATTTGAAACTCATTTTGAAGTTCAGAAATTTTATGTCTGTGGGGAAATTTGCTCATGGTCTTTGCAGATTAGTTGTATCTTTAGTTATTGTTTGATAGTTGATATTAAATGGATTTTGATTGATAGCCATAAGTAGCTAGCCAAAAGAAATCACTTGAGAGGATGATGTGAATATGCATTATTTACCTTAGATTTAAGTAACAAATTTTTTTCTAGAGAATAAACTAGAAGTGTATACTATTTCCCTGTCGTTCCCAGTATGTATGTCTACCTCCCCATAAGAATTGATTTTCTACATCTTTTTCCTTCCTTATGGACATTTTTGGTTCTTAGCTTCCATTCCCTGTCTAACCCAATCTTACCTTTTTCATTTTACTTGAGAAGAGTTTATTTCAAATCTCGAAGAACAAAAATCTAGTTTTCTTTCATTTAACTATTTATTACTTTGTAATCAGAGTTGGGATTTTTTTTTGATTTATTGATTTCTGGTTTCAGAATAATTTTATCAATGTTTTTGGAGGCTGGAAAATTATTAAAACTTGAACAGAAATGTACTTCTGCATACCCCCAAATAGGTAGCTTGATTTTATCAAAGCAATCACTTATTCAGAAAGATAAAAGCAAGGATGCCTTCACCATGTATCTTATTTCAGTATTTTGGAAGTTATTGGGTTCAGGTTTTCAATATATTATATATATTTCAATATAATATATTTCAATATATTATATTGGCTACTGCAGCAGAGGAACAATTATACCCAGATACACTACTGTCATATGTTGTGATAGTTGCTTGCCTTTATCCCATGGCTTGCTTGTACTGGGTGTCCTGGTAGCATACCTGGGAACTATTGGCCTAAGACTTGAAGTATTATCAAGACTCTCAACTTCTCTGAAGCTCATGTATAAAAGTTAGTAATTGTTAAGAAGGTTCCTTTTTCTATGGGAAATTGGTGTTTGTTTCTTACATTTTATCCCATCCTTTTTTAGCCTTTTTCTTTTCATCTTGTTTTATTCTACTTTCCATTTCTATTTTGTCTCATTCTGTCTCATTCTTCAATGTTTAGCACTTTTGCCTTCCCTTTTTTTTTTGTACTTAATTCCATAGCAGAGTAGCCTTCTTTTCTTGATCTCCAAACCAGAAACTTGTCATGTCTGTCTCCTTTAAATTCTGTGGTACTTTGGATTCCTTTAAGAAAAGGAGTTATTTTGTTCTGCCTTGGGTTGTGATGGATTATTGTCTAATAGCCCTTGCTAGATTGTAAGCTCCTTGAGGGCAAGGACTAGACCCTATTCCCTCCGTGTCCTCTACATTGCTTGAGCAGACCAGATTTTCAGGGGACATTTACCTATTCCTATTATGATGTCTTAGCACATCCTCTGTATATAATATACTTCCCAATATTGACATTTGAAACTACCCTTTCAAGAATTGTAGAGGCTAGCCTACCATGTTTTATGGGTGTCCTTTAGATGTAACATGCTAGCTTATGCTTCATATACCATAACTATATTGTATAATACCCAAGAAAGATACTGGATATTACTGGAAAGTTACAATTATATTACCATGTAATGTCCAGTAATATAATATTAGTATGAGGCACAAGGTAATAAATACTCATCTACCTAAGGATGTTGAGTATTTATTCCTATATGATATCCAGGAAGTTACTTCTTGGATCAGGACTTAACCTTTCTGGGTCAGTCCTTTTCCATTTGATCAAAAACTATGATTCCTCTCTTTCAGAAAACTATACATAATTCTTTTCACATCAGATCTTATGGATAAGTTAACTGGGATCACAGATCTGTGGGCTACGAATTATAACCTTCTGTTTGTAGCTTTTGTTTCATCTATAGCCAAACATCTCTTTCATAAATAGAGCAAGATTCCCTTTCTGCTCCTTTAGTTGCTCTCAGTTTAGTCATTGTGATTCATTTTGCCATTTGCCATATGAATAGTGCAGGGTAGTACTCTGGGACAAGTGATGAGAGACCATTTATGATTATGTCCTAGGAACCCTAGAATAAGAGAGAGTGTATTCTGGTCTCTAGTGGGACAAGTGATGAGAGACCATTTATGATTATGTCCTAGGAACCCTAGAATAAGAGATAGTGTACTCTGGTCTCTGGGAAGGAAGGGCTTGTGGAAGAGGTGATTTTTTTTTTTTTTTAAGCTATGTCTTGAAAGACTTGCTTATACAGCAAGAAAAAGAAAATTCTGGGCGGTACCTATGGCTCAAAGGAGTAGGGTGCTGGCCCTATATGCTGAAGGTGGTGGGTTCAAACCCAGCCCCAGGCAAAAACTGCAAAGAAAAGAAAAAGAAAATTCTGGTGGAGGAAATAGTAAATTCTGGTGAAGAACGTAGTAAAACTAAAGGCTAGAAATTGGAAAATAACAGGTATGTGTTTAGTAGGTAATGTAGAAGCAGTTGGTTGGTTTGGCTGGTAGTTTAGGTTAAAGAAAAGTGAGTAGTGAACAGTTAAGTGTTGTGTCTTACCAGCTTTAAAGTAGGAGTGACTTCATTATCATGGTATAGTTTTTTGTGGTTAGTGTTAGTTTAGTAGCAGTTTGGACATTCTCTGACTCATATGAATAATTGACTGTTGTGTCCTTCCAGGAACCTTGGGTTTTGCATGAAACAGTTGTGAAGCATTTGGGGAGCCAAGTACTAAATTGGTAGGTTCCCGGAAGGCACAATGAGGACTGAAGTTGGATGCAACTGATTTAAAGAACAGGCAGGATATATTAATATTTTGTTGCAGGTCAGAGAACGGAATTATGGAGCGGAGAATGATTGTGTTGTGGTCCTAGGCTGATTAGAGTAAAAGGTGAGGGCAGAAGAGGATAAAGATGCAGGTGCAGGCTTGGCATCCATGGCACAGTGGTTATGGCGCCAGCCACGTACACTGAGGCTGACAAGTTTGAACCCGGCCCAGGCCAGCTGAACAACAATGACAACTGCAACAAAAGGTGACCCGGTGTTGTGGTGGGTGCCTGTGGTCCCAGCTACTTGGGAGGCTGAGGCAGGAAAATTGCTTAAGCCCAAGAGTTTAAGGTTGCTATGAGCTGTGACACTAGGGCATTCTACTGAGGGTGACATGGTGAGACTTTGTCTCAGAAAAAAAAAAAAAAAGATGCAGGTGCATTGGATAATTGAAGCCAGATCTTGGAGGACTTGAGCAGGTGCCTAATGTGATACCTATCTTTTTGCACATTCTCCTCTTTTCTTTTGACTTTCTTACTGTTTCAGCTACAAACAGTAGAGTAGATTTATTTGTCATTTTTATGAGGGGAATCTGGTTTGGAAATTGTCAAATAATTCCCTCTCTTCTATTTCCTTTCAGTCAGGGCTTTGATTTGGTGTAATAAGCTGGTTTCATAAAACTTACTAGCAGCTTATAGTGAGCTACATAACATGGAGCAGCCTGCAAATAGGGAAAAGGTAATTTTCATTTAGTTCATTGCAAACTTCATTCATTGGTAATTGTGATACTTTGGATTTTGTTTAAGTTACTTCTCTGGTCTCTGAATTTAACACTCCTAAGTAAGGTTTATTGATATGAGCAGGAGTTCGTAACCTTGATTTGTGTCATGAACTCCTTTAGCAGTTAGGTGAATCCTGTGGATTGCTTCTTAGAATAATGTTTTAAAATGTATAGCATAAGAAAGGATTACAAATGAAACTAATTACAGTAGACTTTCTGTAGTTGCCCATCCCCCTACACTGACCACTTCCTTAAGTGGTCATAGAGACTGGCCATTACTAGTTTGCATTCTCGTAGACTGGATATTACTACATGTACATATAACTGGTTCCTAATGTTGACCAGTTTGTTATGATCCCTTTTGATGGTCAACTTACAAAGATTTTCCTATATATGAAAGTAGCTGTCCAGCTATAAAAACAAACTTAATGGTATAGTTTCTTCTTTATCTTATGATGCATGAAATAGAAGTAGGTGGACTAGCTATCATAATGGGCATAAACAAAATTTTGACATGTCTAACAACTGTAACATGAAAATATGTGTGATTTCTATTTGTAGTAAAGTCACAGTGGTATTATTAATGTTAATGTGGGGGGTTTTGCCTATAATCATACTTGAAGAACATGATAAATTTCAGGTAGATGTTCATGAAAATAAAGATGCAATATTAACTC